TGAAAGCAGCACCATTCTTCTTCACCTTTTCATTTCCAGCATAATAGGTCATAAGATCATCTGACTCAAAATGCCCCATCCCAGTCCATCTCATCTTGCCAATACCTAGTATGTTCAACTGGAAGAGATCTATATTTGTTTCCATTCCGAAGAAATGTGTTACAACAGGGCATGGACCTATCAAACAATATAATTAATATCACATGCAAGCAGCAATCTGTTGTAGATTATCCAAAATTGACTGGAACAGCACATCAACAGAGAACTGCCAGAAGTGCAGGCTAGCTTTAGAAGATACCTTGGGCTCTATAGGGAGAAATGTAGCATCAGGATTGGAGGACCACTCATAAACAATCTGCATTATGCAGATGACACAACCCTGTTTGCTAAATAAGGAGAAACTTAAGCGCTTATTGTAGAAGGTCAAGACTGCAGTCTTCAATATGGATTGAAGCTCAGTATGAAGAAAACAAAGTTTCTCACCACTGGGCCAATTGGTGACGGATGGTGTCTGTTTGGTTCCACAATCAACACTCCTGGCACTAGCAGCCAGGAAATTAAAAGACATATTGCATTGGGAAAGTGTTGTCAGAGATCTTTCCAAAGTACTGAAGGGCAATGATGTCAGTCTGGAGACTAAAGTATACCTGACACAGACCATGGTCTTTGAAATCACTTTCTATGCTTCAGAGAGCTAGGCAATGACTAGAGATGATAGAAGACTAATTTATGTCTTTGAGCTGTGGTGCTGGAGACACGTATTGAATATACCATGGATTGTAAAAATAATGAACAGGTTCAGCCTAGAGAGGGCTAAATCAAGCTTCTCCTTGCAGGAAAGGATTCCGAAGCTTTGTCTGACATACTTCGGACATGTTGCAAGGAGGGATCAGTCCTTAGAGAGGGATGTCATGCTTGGGAAGGTAGAGGGAAAGCATGATAGAGGAAGACCCTCAATAAGATGGATTGATTCAGTGACTCAGGTAATCGAAGTAGGTGTGTCAGAAACAGTAAGTTTGGTACAGGATAGAGCAGGGTTTAGGGTTGTTGTACATAGGTTAGTTATGAGTAGCAGACAACTTGATGGCACATGGGAATAACAACAACAACAAAAACAATGACAACATAGTTTGTTGGTACAAAATTGTTTAATATTTAAAATTATAATAAAAAAGATAAACCAATAGCTTGCTTTAATGTTTCAGGAAGTGTGAGGATCGGACAAGGTTCAGATCTGTTGTTCATAAGATCACTATTCATCATACTTGACTTGATAGCATCTAACAACAATAACAACATTACAATGAAGATACTCCAGTGCCTGAACTCTCCATATGGAAGATGCCTAATGTATGGTCGTTCAGTAGCAAAGAGCTGTGCATCAACCCAGAGACAAGTGGTTCAAATGCAACAGCTGTTCCATGGCAGAAAGCTGGACAATTTCCTTACGTGATTTACTGCCTTTAAAAACCTGCTGCAGGATCAAGTATGAGTCAGTTCTGACTAAGTGGTACACATCAACAACAAAATGAGTAGATGAAATATATTTTAGTATGACAAAGAAATTAAACATTACTGTTTGTTTACATCAAATCAGTATATATTTGGCTACAATTGACTAGTGTCTAACATTTTTGAAAACATATATACATATAATTTATAATAAATGGCAGAATAACATTATAATTGAAGCACTGTATACCTAGATGATGAATGTTTTGCTATTTTGTGACTTTAGCTTTTGGTTGTTTAGCTGTTTCTCATACTTACCTATTTAGAACTTACTGATGCTACAAAACCCTATTTATTGTTTAAAATAAATACACTAATAGCTGTATAATACAATAATTATAGCAGCAATATGCTTAAAATATAAAAAGATAAATAACTATGTGAACTACAAGTGAAGGCTTTATTATAAAAGTTATATATGTTGTATGAAAGAAAGGCCTGAGCACTGTTCGTACATACAGTTTCCAGAGGAAAGCCATTTTGGAAGTGGATGCCACCCACTGTTAATGGTAATAAGAAAGCTTACCATCATAAAGACTATTTTAATCATTATGCTATTGATTATAATTATATACATTCATACACATTTTTATACTATTAAAATGCTTGCTGTTGCAGTTGTGTACCATCAACTTGGAACAGACCCACAGCTGACTCTCCAGCAAGTTTTCAGATGCAATAAATTGCATGGGAAGAGATTGCCATCTTTCTCTGGTGGAGCAACTAAGGAATTCAAACAGTTTTCCTTCGGGATGGCAATGAACACCTTACCATTAGAGCAGTAGATCGAATAGTATAATAAATATTTATGATAATAAGGTGGCTTAGTGATAAGAGTTGTGTGTCTGTGGAGTGAGAAGAGTAATATTCTCCCATGTGATTTACAGCCTCTAAAAAATGACTTAGCTACTACTTGATTCCAACTTGTTGATACATAACAAGAACAAGAAAATATTAATGTTATTATTAGTTTCTACTGACTTGGCTACTACTCACAGAGACCCTGCAGATTGCCTACAGATTACAGAGACTCTACAATCAACTGATTGAAATCTTGCTTTATCCAGTGGCTTTCTCATGATCACCACCAAGCTCGAGCTCATCACAGCAGTCACTCTGTCAATTGTCTTATTGCTTATCTTCCTCTCTTTTGCCAGCCCAGTACTTTTCTCAGGATGATGTCTTTTTTCCAAGGACTGGAATCTCTAGACAACATATCCAAAGCATATGAGACAAAGTTTCACTATCCTTTCCTCTTTGAAGTACAATGGTTGCATTTCTCCAAGAAAGATTTATTTTTTTTTTTGGCAGTTCACGATATGTATATTTAACACTTTTTTGCCAACACCAAAATATCAAAACATTCATTGTTCTTTGGTATTCCTTATTCATTGTCTAATTTTCAGATGTATATAAAGGAATTGATTTAGATCCAGTATACCTTGGCCTTTAAACTGACGTCTTTTATCTTTCTCTTTAGCATCTTAAAGAGATCCTTGACAGCAGAGTTTCCCAATGCAACATATCTTTGGATGTCTTAACTCCTGCTATCATGGATGCTGGCTGTGAATTCAAGTACAATGAAGTTAATCATATTTTAATATTTTCTCTGTTTATCTTGATGCTGCTTAGTGGTACAGTTATGCATATTTTTATTTACTTGATATTTATATATGATCCATAATGAAGGCTGTAATCATTGATCTTCTCTTATAATGATATTATTTTCAAAAAGTCCACTTTTCATAATGGGATATTAATTGACATACATAACTATTGTCAATCTGTTGTTTCTCTTTGCTTTCCTTCATCTAAGAATTCCATGAATAAAGTATTTGTGATACCATGTTAATTTTCCCCAAAGAAATATCTTGAAAACAATATGTCAGTCAGATATGGTTTGAACATACATTCTTGTTTAATGGAGTATGTAATGATTTATTAACAATTATTCAGAGTCTCATTTCAATCTCGAATATGTCTTGATTATTCAAAAATAAAGAATAAATGAATGAAAATCCAAAATTTATGTAAATGTTCATTAAAATTAATAAAAGAAAAGGAAAACCCAATAATTGTTTGTTGTTGTTAGATGTCATTGAATAAAGTGCAATGATAGTGTGACATTATGAACAACAGGAACTGAACTCTGTCCTATCCTGTGCTGTCCTCATTATCTCTCTCATTAACTTGAGCCTATTCCTGCAGTTAATGTCTATATATCTTGTTTGGGGTCTTCCTCCCTTTCACTCATCCTTCATCTTTCCAAGCATGATGTCGTCTTCCAAAGTATAAGTTCTCCTAATAACATGCCCAGCTGATGAGAGACAAAACTTCACCATTTTTGCCACCAAAAAGCAGTCTGGCTGCTCATTTTCCAAGATATACAAATCTGTTCTTTTGGAAGTTCATGGGCTATTCGACACTCTTCTCCAACACCACAACTCAAAGGTATCAATTCTCCTTCTGTCATCCTTGTCCAGCTCTCAGATGGGACGTAAGTGACTGAAAACACACAACTGTTTTACGTCAAATAATATTTTAAGAAAATATTCTAAACAGCAACAAAACTATACTTGTACGAAAATGATTTTGAGAATTACTTTTTTCCAGCTTGAATTTATAAATAAGAGGGTTATGACTCAACTAATATTTTCTGGTTATTTACAATTTTAAGACAATTAGCCCAAACATTAATAAAATATTTAGATCTTTATCTAAAGGAAAACAAAAACAAACAACTGGAACCTATCAATTGGCATGATTATTACTGTAATAATATTGAGCTGGCGCAATAGTTTTGAATTTGAATTTGACTAAATGGAAAGCACTGGGGTCATGCAGTATGAAGATGAGTGCAGAGTCTCACAGCAAAGCATGTGAAATATTTGTCTGGATAAATTTATCTTTCATAAAAGTCTGAATATATTCAGAAGATAGAAAGCATAAAGTAATTCAAGCAGAGAAATTTAATGTAAAAAATTGCTAAGCAATAAAAAGTATGTGTAGATTTTTTTTAAACCCACTAAAACAAAATCTGTCTGTATAATATCTCTGTAGAAAACAGAAAACAGGACACGGAGGCACAGGACCATCAATATCTTTCCGAAAGGACCAGAGGGGTGGGTATAGTACACTCTCTCAGAGCCCTAGAACAGAAAGCAGTAAAGAGCTCGTAAGCCAGCTCCATGACGCTTCTAGAGACTCACAGACTTACAGTTTTACTAAGGGTTTTACTTTTTGCCAGCTTGACTTTTTAAATAAGAGGGTTATGACTCAACTAACATTATCTGATTATTCTGGGTTTTACTAAGGATTGGAGAGTAGGGGGAGCAAAGAATATCACCCACTGCAAATCCAATATTCAGTCCAGCAATCCAAGGCACAATTACTCAATTATTTTGGGCTCTGGTTTTTGTTCAGCAAGCAGCTTTTCCTTCCATCATTAAAGACAAAACAGTAAAACTTTTAACTTCTAACTTTCAACTATGGCCAGCACAAAGGTAAGAAGCCCCAGATCACACCTTGCCAAAGTTTCTCCATAGTAATGCCAAAGTCTCTCCTCCACCATCATCTAGATGACAAGGTTTCACTCTCAATAGGGTCTTGTTCCAGTCTCTCTCAGGTCTTGCTTGTCTCAAGTCTTGCTGCCACGAGTCGGCTTCTTAGTGTGGAAAGCACTATTTCTCTTATCCTTGTCCCACAGCTGCTGCTGATTTGCATGGTCATGTGTCGACAGTAAAGGTAGCCAGAGATCAGAGATGGCTAAGTTAATGACTGAAAAAGCCAACTTTAGACAATCACTGTAGTGTCCTAACAACTCATTGCTGTTGCATCAGAACTGACTCATAGCTAAACCTCCAGCCAATGTTGAGGCTCTAGATCACACAGGAGAAGATTGCTTATCTCTTTTGCAGAATGGCTCAGGGATTCAAATCTATAGTGCCACTCCTTATGGACTAGGGCATCAGGAATCCTTACATAGGATTATTCTAGGAAAGGCAAACTAGGGAAGAGTTCACATATTTATTTTAGGAAGTATAGTTAAGCCCACTGGATGGCAGGGAAGTTCTCTCTAAACATTTCAAAAGTCTGGTCTGCATCACCAAGCAACCCTCGTGAACAAAGACAGAGTGAATAAACGGTAGCTGGTAACAAGTGTGTGTTGTGCAGTTTGTGGGGAAGGAAGCCTGGAACACATTATGTCTGTGAAGCATGTAACAGCTAATGACAGCATGTAGTTGTACCAGAGGCACGAGATAGATGGTAGGATGGAAAATGGGTTAAACTTATTAGGAAAGCTGAGGCACAAGAAGGACAGTATTGAAAATTCTGATGAGGGGATTAGAAAGTGAATAGAGCAAATTAGGGCATAAGAGTGGAAAAGAGATAAGGCACGTAGGCTTTCCATATCAAAAAGGCAATAGGAAGATTGTGAGGTTACCAAGGGACAATGGAGAAAACTCTATTACTAATTGACTTCATACTTCTAGTACTATATTTGAAGCTTGTAAATAAGTACAAATTACCATCATATGTTGGTTATGGCTATAGTAACTTTATAAATAGACTATTTTACTTCACAGGGCATATAATCACACCAAGGTCTACACTAAGAATGCAAGCTCAACTATTATAAAACGAAAAGTAGAGTAGTCATTTGAGCCAGCTTTACAGTAAGCATTTAGAAAAAGACCATTGCAAATCACGAAGACCTGGCTGGGCCCAAAGAGCTGAGTAGTTTTCTGCATCCACCATAGCACATAGACTCTGAGGTATCCAATGTCAAATACCTTTTTAGAAGGTTTTTTTCTAGCTTTTATTCCTATAATTTTTTTCTCTGTTTTCATGGGATGGGGGATGACAGTAGAGTATAATTAATGTGTAGATTTCTTGATCTAACAAGACTCTAACCATATTTTGGCACTCCTTTAAAAGTTATAGAAAATATACAATAATTTTTTAAATTGCATTTATTTATGAGTTCTTTCCCTTTGTCAAGTAGATATTCTTTATACTTCAGAGTAGTAGATTTTGGTTATTGAAAAGTTTACATTTATTTGCGTAAATCACATCAGGTATTAAATATCAGAATTTTTTTTTCAAATTATTCTTGGTGACTTAAGTGGCATCCCTCACATTGAGTCAACACCCTTACTATGTTCCTATGCTATTCATAGGTTTTTTTTCCAAGGTGTGTTATTGCAGAATTGTATGGTCAGTCCTATGTCCTATTCTGTATTAATCTTGAAACTCCACTGAAACATATCCACTATGAGTGACCCTCTTGGTTTTTCAAATATCAGTGGTATAAATTGTAGCAAGCATAACATATGACTTTTTGGGTCTTATTGAGTAGGGGTCAATTTGACCGCATCTAACATACATGTATAACTTAACTGTTTTATTCCCATTAAATTCGTCTCACTGTCCCCCAAAATGAATATTCATAGCTTATAGTAACTGTTTTTTACTTGGATTCATATAAATATTTTAAGTCTTTTTATTAGTTTGCATGTTATTATTGTTGTTGTTGTTGTTGTTGTTGTTGTTAGGTGCCATCAAATTGAGTATGACTCATAATGATTCTATGAACAAAAGATCTGAACCTAGTCCTATCCTGTGCCATCCTCACACTTCCTGATACACAAGAACAGATTGTACTAGTCACCCTGTCAATCCATCTGGTTGAGGGTCTTCCTCTCCTACACCAATCCTTCACCTTTTCCAACAGCATGTCCCTCTCCAAGGAATAACAACATGTTCATAGCAATATGTTCAAAGTGTGTGAGGTGAATCCTCATCATTCCTGCCTCCAAAGGGCACTGTGGCTGCACCCTCTCTAAGACATATGTATTCATTCTCTTGGCCTTCAATAGGATGTTCAGTGCTCTGTTCCAACACCATAGCTCAAAGGCGTCCATTTCCCCCCCCCCCGTCATCCTTATTAATTGTCCACATTTTGGATGTAAAAGTAGGAGCCAATGAAGAAGGAACAGTAGTTGGAAAATATAGGCTTGTTGGTAGAAATGAGGCAGAAAATAGAACGATTGAATTTTGTCTTTATAATTATTTATTCATTGCAAATACTTTTTCTAAGAGGCACAAAAGATAAATTTATGTGTGGATTTCACCCTATGAATGGCATAGGAATCAGATTGGCTACATTTGTGAAAGAAATAGTTGGAGAAGCTCACTATCAGCAGTCAAAACTAGGTCATTGGCAGAATGTTGGTCAGATCATCAGTTACTCTTATATAAGTTTAAATTGAGGCCAAAGAAAAAGAAAAAAAAAACACAGGAACCAAGATATGATCTTGAATCAATTCCAATAGAATTTCATGATCATCTTAAGAATAGGTGAGGCATTGACATCAATGATAGAAAACCAGATGAGTTGTGGGATGTCCTCCATGAAGAAAACAAAAGGTCATTAAAAAACAGGAGAAAGAAAAAATTTAAATGAATGTCAGAAGAGACTCTAAAGGTAGCACTGAAACATTGAGAAGCCAAATCTAAAGGAAAACATGTCAAAGTAAGAGATTTAAACAGACAAATTCAAAGGGCAGCTCAGGAGTACATAACAAAGTATTATAAATGGAATGTGCAGAGAGCTGGAATTGGAGAATTAAAAGGGAAGAACTCACTCTGCATTACTCAAACTGAAAGAACTGAAAAACAAATTTAAGCCTCATTTTGCAATGTTGAAAAATGCTATGGGCAATATATTGAATGATCCAGAAAGTATCAAAAGAAGATGGAGGGAATACATAGAGTCACTGTACCAGAAAGAATTTATTGACACTGAAAAATTTGAGGAAATACCATATGAACAGGAGCCAATGGTAATGAAAGAGAAAGTGGAAGCTGCACGGAAAGCATTGTAAAAAAATAAGGACTCAGGAATCGATGGGATACCAATTGACTTGTTTCAATTAACAGATGCAGCCTCACCAGTCTATGCCAGGAAATTTGGAAGTTGACTGTCTGTCCAATGGATTAGAAGAGGTCTATATTTATTCATATTCCCAAGAAGGGTGATCCAACTGAATTTGGAAATTATCAAACAATATCATTGATACCATGAGCAAGCAAAATACTGCTGAAGATCATTCAAAAATGGCTGGCACAGTACACAGATAGGGAATTGCCAGAGTTCAAGCAGGATTTAGAAAAGGCCATAGCACCAGGGATATCACTGCTGATGTCAGATGGATCCTGGCTAAAAGTAAAGAATACCAGAAGAGTACCTCTTTGCAAGTGCAAATTGACTATGCAAAGGCCTTTTACTGTGTGGATCATGACAAGTTGTGGCTAATATTGACAAGGATAGGAATCCCAGAGTTCATGAGGAACCTGTACCTGGATCAGGAGGCTGTTGTTAGTTTGAATACAATCATGTATTTTATGCAATTATTCATATACATTTTATTTTACTCAACTAATTACTACTGGGTCTATCATTAGCCATTCTCTGAACGTGTTCGTAAAGTCTTTCCCATTTCTTCACATACACATACCCCATTATGCCCATTAACATGTGCTATCCTAGAGATTTTTCTCCTCTTCCTTTTTTGAACATTTATGCATCTCTTGTTCAGTTATCCTCCTATTATCACAGTAGGGGTCATATGTAGTATTTGTGCATAGGTGACTAAGTGAATTTCATGGAGCATAATACTCTATATTCTCTCCCACACACTGTTTTTCAAAATCATTGTTCCTTATTATTGCATAGTATTCCATTTTCTGAAAGTACCACAATTTCTCAATCCATTATTTTTTGCTGTTGTTTTTTAAATTTTTTTCTTTTATTTTTATTGTTCTGTACTATCGAATCAGATCCAACTGTCACAGTAGGAGGTAGTCCTTCCTTATCCAGTGGAGCATCTGGTGGATTCGAACCACATGCCTTCAGGATTGCAGCGCAGCTTGCATTGTTTTGTTGCTGGACATTTAAGCTGTTTCCATTTTCTTACTTCTGTGAATAACACTGTTATAAACATAGGTTTATATATGTTCATTCATGTATTAGTTTTTATATCCTTGGAATATATTCCTGTTGTTCTTGTTGTTGTTGTTATGTGCCGTCGAGTCGATTCCGACTCATAGCGACCCTATGCACAACAGCCCTAAACCCTGCTCTATCCTGCGCCAACCGCATTGCCTCTGACACACCGATCACGATTACCCCAGTCACCGAATCAATCCATCTCATAGA